ATACATACAACGAGAATATCAAACGATAATAATCAATCGATGATCCCGTGAGACCCAAAAAAATGAATTCGAAAGATTTTGATGAGACAGGGATTGTGTATGATCAAACTCCATATAACAGAGCTCAAACTACAGAACTCTCTCATTTTCGGAATTGGACATTTGACTCCGAAATAAACTTTCTTAGATTTAAAGTAGAACTGAAGCTGTCATGAAACGTAAGAATTGCGAAAAAGAAGAGTAAGACTAGGTACTGTCCAGTTCGAGTTGGACAAACATAACAAGAATGAAGGACAGTAGTTGAAGAGCTAATGAGAGCCGTTTATTTATATGAAAAAATAAATTAATATTCGTATTTAGGATCTTTTTTGAAATCGACGCATCCAAGACAGTTGCAGTATTCTTCCCCATTTCCACAATAACCAGATCGGCTACAGCAAGGAGCAGGAGAACTTGAATCGCATTTGGGTATTTTACCAGACGGCAATCGTGGGGCATCATGTCCGCACCTCCCTAGTTTCAATTTGACGAAGCTGGATTTCATTAATACCTACCGACATTTGCAGGATTTTCGATGAATGTCCACCACTCTATAGGTTTGTATTCAAAATTACGTTCTTTCGCGAAATCTACACAGCCGACACATTCGCAATGGTCCTATAGAAATACGATTTGGAAAGAAATACATTCTTATAAACTTTGCTGCTTCCACAGTAGCCTCCGTTGCTACAACAATGAGCAGTTATATCATCAGGATTACAAGTTGGTGGTTTGCCATTCAGTGGAGGAACTTCTCGTCCGCATCGTCCACGTTTCCCATCCCCTGCATCAGCGGTATACCTAATTAGGGTGTTGAAAATGAGCAAGCCATATTTATGTTTACCACGTTATATCCTTCTGTGTTGGTTTCACTGGTTCTTGAAGGATGAGCATAGGATCCGAACCATAATCAATACATTCGGGGCAAGAACAGAACTCCTGGCCGCTTCCGCAGTAACCATACTAAAATATTCGTTCAATCAATTATGGTTTCTGAGGAGGAAGCATAAACGCACTTTTCCACAACAGGCATGTCCTGGATCATCAGGATCACAAACTGGATAGAATCCATCATATAGTGGAGCAGATCGTCCACACATACCAGCCACGTCCTGAAATTATTCTGAGTTTGATGAAGAAGTAGGCGAACATACCTCGCCATCGTCAAAGGTCCACCATCGCTGTTCATTGATTGGACTGCACTTATAGATGAAATCACTATTCGAAGGTTTGGAACACAGCCCATTCTTAGAAAGTTCACGGTTCAGTGATAACAAAATTTTTTTGCCAAACCGAAGATGTGGCTTGCAGTAATGTGAGTTGATCATCATCGAAGTCAATCGCCCAGATCATTACACCACCTAAATTGTGCTCCACCAAGTAATCAACCTGTGAAAAGAAAGATTAATAACACACTGAGCGTACTAAGGATTATACTTTATGTCCTAAGCTTTCCATATTCTCGTATCCCAGAAAAGTTTTGTTGGTGGAATCCCAAATAAATGGAGCTTTTGAGCCTTGGTGAAACCGGGTATTGGATACATCGAACCGAGAGCTCAACTCTCTCCATTTCACATCTCCACCCTTCGATGAAAATATTTTGGAATGGTCTTGATGAATTTGTGTTAAACTTCATATTTCACATCCCCGTCGACTGGTGTAGCAGTTCTCCACATATCGTCGTTGGGGTCAACAGCATCACCTACATTGTGCCAATACCTCCCATAGAAAGGAACTCCCATATTTATCTAAAATATGGTAAATATTTTATAAATAGCTTTTGAAATTACCTTATTAGTAGCTTTCAATTGGCAGCTGTAATATTTCATAGTCGCATGCACATTCATTCTTCCGGAAAACCTTAAATAGTGTTCCTGAGATGAGAAAATGTTCAAACACAAACTTTTTGGGCATTGCAAAGTGTAAAGGTGCTGGTGGTCCTGTATAAGCTCCCCATTTAGATTGCCAAGCACCGAAATAGTCGTAAGACATAATATTGACAAAGTCAACATATTTAACCAATTGAATTAGATCGAAGCCTTAAATCAGTTCGTTTTCTTCCAAGCAATCGAATGTATGTAATTATACCTGGCTTCAATACCCAATGCCCCGCAGCTCCAGCAAAAGATATCAAATATCCAACCTCACGACCTTCTTTATCCTCTAACTCACGAAGACGATTTCTCAACTCGCGGACAAGATGAACATAATTTTTTCGGTCAGCCTAATGAGAATGAATATTATATTGGGTGGATTACTTTACCAGAAAGGGTAAACAAACAAATTTTGTGAAGCAATAACAAAAGCGTCACAACTGAGAAACTAACCGGTACTCCTTCCACAGCTCCTCCGGTAACAGGATATTCCCAATCTAAGTCAACCCCATCAAAACCGTATTCTTTGATAGTTCTTATGATGTTATCTATGAATGAAGCCCTTCTTGAGTGGTCTGAGCAGATGTGGGAAAAATGCTGGGAGTTTTCCCATCCTCCAATGGCGAACAATGTTTTGAGATGAGGGTGTCGCTTAGCAACCTGTAATCTTATCCTGTAAGACCACGAAAAAAGAAGTTGTGTCTTACACCCAGAATTTCTCCTAATCTGATCTTCGCTGACTCTGATTCAACGCTTAGTTCACCATTTGCATTCATCACGAAAAATGCATAAACCAGATGTGTCAAAACGTTAGCCTATAAATAGTAATGTGACTTAATTTTTGTCTGCAACATTTACTTGTTCATCTCTAAATGGAATATTACCCCATGAAGTAATGTAACCGACAACGCGCCGGTTACAATCACTTGACGATGAGGTAGGATACGGAACGAACAATAAAATTGTACAAATTAATATTTTCCAAATCATGTTGAAAACCAAAACAAGCTGATGGATTAGCTTCTTCTGCTATCAATCCGTAGCAATATCTTATGACAAAAATCAGAAGCTGCAATTGACAATGTAAAATATAGAAAAGAAAAACAAACCAACCAACCAACTGCAATATAGAAGTTGAAATTGGAAACGAAGATGATATAAGCTCGTGAAAATCAGAGTCATTTGCTCCACCTATAAGTGGCTCAGCCTCAATTTCACTCATTTTCAAGTCATTTCTTTATTTGTTCTTCTCTATACAGTGTTTTCGTATCATCTGTGGCCTGAGGTACTCTTTTGTTCGCTGAAGAATAGGACAATACTCACTTTCATTCTGAAAAAGGATGAGCTATAGAAATGCTCAGTCGGTTAAACACATTAGTCTTTAACTAACAGCTTAGTATTTTGCTCTTTATAAATACGCCAACTAAAAACAAATCATCAGTTCCTCGATGTTCTTTGAAATATATTCACAGTTCCATGTTCTCGCATCTTATTCATGCATGTTCCGTTGGAACTTTTTTTTATGAACTATTTAACATGATCAAAAGCTTTTTTATGGCACGATAGCAGGGACTAGAGTATCATTGTCTTCAATCCATTTCACATTTTTTTGAACATGTGTGAAATCACCTCTCAGATCAATACGCTTGAGCCATAGATAGTGATAGAGTACGTTCTCATTATTACGGTTGGATAAGTAAAACTTGTCTATGCGCTGTTCCCTTCAACAGTTCACGAGGAAACCTTCTGAAGATGTGCATTTTTTAAACAATGTATTCATTTGCTAGAATATGGTTGCATATGTATAAATCAACACAGATGAGAAATACTTTTTAAAATTATTATTTTGAATGTACAAACATAGCGTTGCACACACCTAAGCACACGAACAACCTCAGATTTTAGCGCCAGTTTGAAAATGCTTTGAAAACGGAACCAAAACAAGAACATTGAACTCTTCACAACCGTCACTTAGCAAAGTTCAAGAAAAATTTGGAACAAAGCCTTGCTCGAAAAAAATATATCTAATAATCAGTATTCTATACACATATATATTAGAAAGAATAGAACATTAGTTAAAGATACATTTATTTAGAAAAATCTTTAATATTATCTCATAAAATACAACCGATCATAGCATATCTTCTCATAAAACTGATTCCTGCGTCTCGGTAAAACAGCTAAGACTGACAAAAAATGAGAAAATGAACCAGATTGGTGAAGCAGAATGGTAATCGGTATGATTAAAGCTGCTTATAATTTGGCCAATTTGTTTAAAGAATGAATATTAGTTTGTTCTAAGACAAAAAACAGATACTTCAGTCTTTGGCATTATGTACTATTATTATACTATAAAGCGAGATGAAACAGATTATACGTTAGATAGAGTGAGTAGAAATGAAAAATTAAGAAGAATGCAACCGTTCTGTGAGAGCGGAGAGGACCGATAAAATAACTTAAAAATCTCATAAACGTCTATGTTATGCAAGTGAATTGAGAAACATGTAGTATAGTGAAACGGAATGCAAAAATATTATGATTTTAGTTAAGTTCTGAAAGAATTTAAGAATATATCTTCACAAAAATGAGCAAATACAATAAAAATCTAATAAATGACTAGTTAATGTGTGCATGTTTGCGCGGATGACTATGTTTTCAATTAAAAAACAATTAGGTCAACTGAATTAAGCACCTACACAACTGTATCATCCCCAACTGTAATGTAAGTAACGTTGTTGGCTCCTTGGACAACTTTAGATCCGGATACGGAAACATTATGCTGTGAGTTGGTATCAACTGTATTTGTAGAGGAATAGGATATCGATTCCTCAAACAACTCTGGAGAATCGTCGTCATCGCGGACAATAGTTACATCCCGTCCAGTATGCTCATCCCGTATAGAAGAGGTTCTTCCACCCATGTGTCTATCAAAGCCATGTTTGGCTGTCCTGAAAATGTCCATCAATAAGACACAACACCCATTTTAAATAAATTGGTTAATGCGTAAGCAAGCAGTAGGTTAATGTAAACTCAAAAAACTAAAAAGACGGCTTACCCATTCAAACCCTTACTAGGTGATATATATGCACGAGCATGATGGAAGTCAGCTGGAGGTGTTGAAGGAGTTGTATTGCGTGAAGGTCTTCGTGAAGGAATCTAAGGATATTGATAAACATATACATTATGACACGTTATGTTATTACCTCAAACGGTATAGGCTTCTGGAACGGAATTTCTTTTTGCTCGTGGAAAGCAGCCGAATTATTTCCTAAGCTTCTAAAGCTGCTACTGGTCCCACGAGCAGCATCTCGCGGCAAACTGAAACCAAAAACATTAGGATATGTCAAAAAAACAGCAGGAACCCTGGTTGTGGCGTTTTCGATCCCACGGGTGGTTTCGACTTTTTCTTTCTTGAGTATGGAGATCTGCTGCTAGCTGTAACTTGTCAAAATAAATGAATATCCTTTCATACTCTAGTTTTTATTCGCGGAAAAAAGCTTCAAAAACCAATTCCACCTTTTATAACCGCGAGAGACAGAGGTTATACTGCTGATTAATTTTCAACTATGAAACAAAAATCAAAGTTTTGAGAGAAAGAATTGATGAAACATTGCAAAAGTTTCTTCATACACTTTTTTTTCAAACTTACCATGAGCAATACTATGACGAGATTGTATTTCAGTAATTTCCTCTCTAATAGAACTCAGAGGCTTCATTAATATTGGTCCTAATTGTTTAGTTGGTCTTTCAGGTAAGTCCGACTCTTTTGGTAAAGGAGGGATGTGCTGCTTATCGCTCTGTAAGTAGGAAAATTGCAATTAGCCTGCGGAAAAAAAGTACTTTGAGTTTCGTTAGTGTCTCGTTTAATGAAATCATCACAGCATCATCAGAGAACATGAAGTTTTCTGCTATCCTTATTTGAATAAACTCCATGAATGTATCGATTTGTAATGATCGGATGGCTCCTGTAAGTTTTTTCTTATTTCTTCAGCAAAGTTAAGCAGCTTACTTTCATGCATTTTCATAATGTTCAAAGCCATTGCTATAAGAATACTTTCTCCCTCTAAAAGATAAACGTCCCACAATCTGTAAAAACATATTAAACCTCTCAAGCCAATGAGACAAACCTAAGGGCAAGAGCGAAAGGCACACGATCAAGAAAACATCCAAACCACCACTTTGTTAAATAAATATAAGGAATATCTTGTTTTTCCTGTTAAATTAAGGAGATATGTAATCTGCATTAAACACCAAAAACTCACTAAATGCTTATATACTCTTGGCTTATACTTTTTGAGAACTTTTTTAAAATGAGCTTCGAATCTAGTCAATTTTGGAAAACCGGGAACAAAGAACCCTGAAAAAAATAATCAATTATTATAAAAAAAATAATCTCACCATGCATTAAATGCTTTTCACCGACCATTAGAGAGTGTAAACACCAAAAAGTATCTTCTTCATCCAGATACATTAGGAAAAGGGCAGCTAATTGACTCATTCCTAAAATAAATGGAATTACCATCAATGCATCAACTAAACCTTGGCAATATCCAACTTCTGTATTATACATAGAATATGCCGCCAGAACGTTGAGAAGTGATTGTTGCCTATATCAAATTATCGTTGAAAGCTCAGCTAAATATAACCAAATACTTCACACTATAACGCCGGCGAAAAGCCTCGTGATCTCGATAAGTCCGATTAATATCCAAGTCAATTTGCTTTATATCCTTACTAACTAGGCGTGCTCTGAGCAGCAGATTCTAAACCCATGAATACAACAATAAATCCAAAAATTTTACTAACGGCATATGCATCCTTGTTTTCCTTCTTCATTTGATAAATTCCCAATAACGCTGGCCATACCTTAAAGGTAATGCTTTAGTTTTCAAAACATAGAAATTTGATGAATTACGATGGTTCGATATTCCGCAGGCACACCCTTCCATGTACGTTCAGCCAATTTTTTATGAATAATTCCCTTTTGCAGCATCTTAAAAACAAAATTAAAATATTAGTCGAGTTGACCAAGTCACCTCAACCATTACTCGCCACTTCTTAACTCTCTTCATCTTCTGTTCGAGTTGGCGTTTTTTTAGTCTCTCCGCATCACTAAGCTCGTTTTCATTTTTACTGCAAGGGAGTTAATTAGTTGGAATAATCGGGGAAAAGATGTTTTACTGCAAAAAGCCAAATCTATCCATTTTCTTGTACAGATCTGAGTTAGGATTCTCCCAGTCGTCAACGTTCATACCATCGGGTCCCTTCGAAAGTTCATGCATAAATGATGCTGTCAATGACAAATCTAACCTCCGAATACTTTTTTATTATGGACTCTCGCTCTTGAAGTTCGAAAAATTGTGGATCATCAGCTTCTTCTTCACTAGTATATTGAGCATCTTCATCTGAAGAAAATGTAATTAGAAATGAATAAAATATATTATAAAACCTATTTCATCTTTACTTCCACTTCCTTTATTATCTAATATCAAGCGCGGAATACTTTTACAACTTTTACTAAGTTTACCCGCAGCTTTTAGAGGATCGCTCAACGTGCTTTGCAATTGTTCTTTCATTCGTAGACTTGCATGTCTTATTAGAGGACTAAGCTCATTACTGAGAAGAACATTTGACGTTTCTTTAGCCTTTTCTAAGCCACGTCGAAATGACGAAGTTCGAGAAATAGATGGAGATTGTCCACCAATTTCTTCAACAATGATTTGTCTTCGTCGCACAGAGCGATGATAAGATTCAGAATCGTCGTCCATGGTAGAAACAACGAAATCCTGGACACTTAACAGAAAAGAACCGTATTACAATAGTAAAGTAGAATATAGATGGAAAAGCTCAAAAATAAAAGGACAAGATTGGAAGAATAGATCAATGGATTTCCATTCATTCAACAATTCATTGTGAAAATTATGGCAGCTTATTAGAATGAATGAACTAACAACAACTGCACACATGAAGTAAATAAGAAAAAATATCAAAAGAAACCTTGAAGGAATGAATTTTAAAGAAGAGATAAGCTGCGTGCGGTACAATGAATAATTCGGCTGGTCTATGACCAACTTCATCTCATGTGTCCCTCCCAGATCAAGATGACACTTATGGGAGAAACATCTTTTTAACAACCATGTGGCTTGATATAAAAATTTCCGCTTTCAGAGAGATAAAGTTAATACGAGACATCATAGGCAGGAAATGTGTACGGAAAGAGCAGGGAGGTGAGGAACGTCAAAACCAAGATAAGCTGTCACACGAATGCCTAATCTCCAGCCCCGCGGCAAAATTGAAAAGATCACCATGGACACAGCTTTCATAAGAAGGATTTGGCGTCAAACAACCCTCGTACGATGAGAAGTTTGAAAAATTCAAAAATTAATGAAACAATTTTTTTGCTGACTTTAAAAGAATTTTATGAAATTAAGCGGAACAAGAATAAAACTGAAGGATGAATCAGAAAACAAAATGAGCATGTTCACACACTGGATTAAACCAAGAAAATCGAATTTTCTATTATGACCCGCCTCTCAATCTCCCCTCTCTCAGTCTTCAAGATGGAACGAAAACAGAATTTACCTGCAGTTCCTGGCTGATAAACTTCCGCTTGAGAATCGCTCCCGTCATCTAAAATGTCAGTTTCCTTGTAACCAATATTGTTTTTAGGAGAAGAATCGGGATAGGCCACATACTCATCACGATCATATAGTTCTCTTAAAAATTAAAAACATTGCCTGCTATACGGAAATAGAAAAACCTATTAGAATAAACGGTTGTATAGTTGGGAACTTTAGTTATATGATAACCGTCCTCCCTGTTTTTTGGAACATTCTGAAAATTGCTAATTCGACTATGCATCCAAGTATTTGAACGATTTTCTTTCTTTCGAATAATTACTTGAGCTTAATTGGAAGAGTTATAAAACAAAACAAAGTTAGAATTATAAGAAATGAAAACGAATCCAAAAAGGCATTCAGTTTCAAAACACAGATGTGTTTTGCTAGTTTCATAAAGGCGCATTCCAAAATAAATAAATTAACAATCAAATGAGGGTAGATTGCAAGATTACAAACGACCATGTAATGAATGCAGACAAAAGGAACAAATATGAAAATATTGAAAAAGCACGCACACAATCCGAAGGGAACACATTTGAAATTGAGAAAGCTCTTGACGTGATTAACGTGGCACGTGAAATACACGTGTTTTTGCATACATAATCAATATGCTAATTTCTGATTGATAACTCGTTAAAGAGTTAAAAAAAAAAGAATGAAACTCAGATAACTAACCTGATAATCATGGGAATATCCCTCGTTATTTTGAGATGAATCAAGTCTGAAAGAAGATTTAATGAAAACTAAAACCTATTTTACAACCTTCTATGTATAGTCAATCTATCAAGTCCCACGGAAGTCAAGGAATGTGGAGGAGGATTTCGATAAGACTGAATATCAAAATAATTGAAAAATCGCATGAGATGTAAATATTAACTGAAACATTCCGCGGGTCTTCATTATAATGATGATAAGAAAACGATCGCTGAGTCCGATGGGGTTCATTAAATTCTCGGGCATCAATTGGGGATGATGGATGCGCATGTGATTGATGTCTGTAAATGGCAATATGTGCTTACAACTGTAATGCTTCGTTACTCTCTGAAGTTGTGATGACTATTGCTCTGCGAATAGTCCTGGTGTCGTTGGACGGACACTAGTCTCGGAGCGCTTTTATCCATCGTTAATTAAGTCCGCACATAGATATTCCTGAAAGATTTATAATGAGCAAAGAAAAGAAATTAGAGGAATATTCAGAGACATGTTGGTGGAAAAAATGTGTGATAATAGCATTATTTGGATATTTGAGGGTAATGATCAGCTATGAAACATGTAAAGGGATACGAAAAATGAACAAATTCAAAAGCGAGGACAACATCACACGCCAACACGTAAAAGGAGAAATGTGGTTTCGGTGATAATTGAAAAAGGGAAATATGCGAAGAATTAGGTGTGGAGATGTTATATGGACAGAAACTATGTGATGACAGAAATAGAGAACAGAATGAATCGTATTGATTAAGACTTGATGTGATAAAACCCGTCTAAAGCTTTACCAATGAAGGTAGACAATTGCGTATTGGTTGGAAATCTTGAGAAAAAGAACAAATGTGTTAGCCAGGAAAGTTCGAAATCACAAAAACAAACACTACACCAGAGAAACTTGCACGATGTAGACATGTAAATGTACGGAGGACAAACTGGTCACAGGACGGAAACAGATTAGCAGAAAGATATTGTACATGGTCAGAACCATATTTGGATTTTCTAATTCAATAAATTCGATTTATGCAAATTCACTAACAACAAGGACTAAAAAATAATAAAACAACTAAATAACATCAAACGAATAAACATTTTTCTACAAATCAACTAATAAACAGAATTAAAACTCTAAATACTTCGTTAAATTCTGTAATTTTTCTGCGATTGGCTTCTTTTGTTCTTCATTTCTACCAGTATTGCTCACTACCATCAAGATCATTAGTAACGGTAAGTATAATAAACTGAAAATGGAAATTCATCAAGGATATAAGAAAGTTCAATGAAGCACCTGAAGAAAAAGAGCTTTCGAGAATTTTGAGCATCGGGAGCTTTATAGAATTTATACGAAAGATAACAAAGAGCTGCATTCAAAGGTATGGAATCTGAAACAGTCAGTATCTTTGCACAAAAAAATAAAATGAATTACCAAGAGCGAAAGTTATTGTAGTTAAATCTGTGAGTGGAGCAATCACAGAGCATAGCCCAACTAAGGCTACTGAGTGGCGGAGAGAAGTAACACGGCATAACTTCTCATCAGTGACACACATAACTCGATAACCAGCCTAAGATATTTCAATGTCAGTGTTTTAGTAAAATTCATTTCATATAAAACGGAAGAAGCAGATCAATTCGTTGTTTTTTGTTAGGAAACGGAGCAAGTGAAAATCATTTTTGGAAATGTTGTCCCATCGACCGGTTGATTCTGCTCAGTGTCTAGTGTGAGAATTCACAAGAGTTTACAATTTCCATTTTGGGAAAACAAATTCAATTGGAAGAGTATAAGAAAACACCAACTTTGCTATAATCTCCTCTCAAATTCCAACTCAATCCGTTGAAATGGGGAAACTGCCAGGAATACAGAATTAGGGCTAAACAAGCAGCCCCAAGATCGAGAGTTCCAGCTGCTGCTGCGTATCCCATCATTGGAGGTATGGCTCCAACCTGTAATTTTAAAATGATGCTGCTCATAAATACTGAAACGTTGCTTACCACTGCACCTGCCCATGTACACCCTATATGCATTCTTTTAGATGGGGTATAAACTCCAGCATATAGGAATAAATTTAAAGCTCCTAAAGCAGCCGTCAACGGGTTGCAGAAAACATGTAGCATCCCGTATCCAGCAACTGAGCATACCCCCGCGAAGGATAAGGCATGCAGAGGAGAAAATCTGGAATAATATCGAGCATGCAGAAGCAGTTGTAAAAAACCAAACCTATGCACAACTAAAACTCTGCTTTGTGTTCTACGCATTTGAGCATCATAAGGAGCTTCTAGCAGTTGATTACAAGCATTAGCAGCCGATGATAATAACGCTGTTCCAGCAGTACAAGCAGCAAGTGAAGTCATAGAAATGGATACAGGTGTCATGAAACATCCCGCAAGAGCTGAAAAAATTTAGAAACATGCATGCAAGACTCAATTACCTGTCGATGTAATGAGCATAGTCAGTTTGGATTTTGATAACTGCAAATATGCTGATATTAATCCTTTCGGCTCCATTTTCGTCCATTCCCTCAAGTGTGAGTCTCCGACTGAACAAATCAAGTTATCTATGTTTGGGAAGAATCAAAACAACCTATGAGATTGACTTCCTTTTTTCTAGGCTTTCTTTTATTCAAGTCCAATATCGGAGTTGCAACAGTTGGCTCTGACACTGAACTCTGCTCCGGCATTTCATCATAATGTGGTTTTACCTGCGAGATAGAGCTTATAAAAATAAAATCAACACAAGAAAGGAAAACCTTGGGTAGGCCATAGTTCAGCTTTGAGCAATGAAGAAAAGACGAGCTACTAGTAGATGGAAAGGCTAGTCTACTTATGAAAACTGTTCTGCTAAGCATTACTTAATAGGACAACACAAATATCTCCCTCTTCAATACTTTGTACCCAACATTGAGATGTGAACCAAATCTAAAGCAGGTGAAGATAAAGCGGAACGAAAGAAAAAAGTTTATAAACATATATTTAAGCTAAATGGGCTACAAAAATAATATTGGTTTTAGTATTGAGAAGCGCACGTACACATTTTCAAGCCCACGAGCAACACTTACATATTGAGATTTTTTATAAGTTAAAGATATTTTTATTAATATTTAAGATTCTACGATGAAAGTTAAAGTTTTATCAAGGAATCCTGATGACTATCAGAGAGAAACAAACAAGGATATTCATAAACGTACGTTTCATGTTTGGAGTAGTCGAAGTGTTTTACTTGTTCAATTGCTTTAGTTGTGCGTAATTGGAATGCTCCTGAAGATCCTTTCCAAGCTCAAACAGAATACACACGTGCTATGAATGCAACTAAATTAGAAAGAGTATTCGCCAAACCTTTCGTAGCCAGTTTTGATGGCCATATGGAAGGCGTTAATGTCTTGGCAAAGCATCCAGGTATGGCCATATTGTCTCTTCGTATTCGTCATGAAAACATTCGTTAGATCGACCATCAACAATCATATCAGGAGCGCGTGATGGACAAGTAAAAATTTGGAATCTAGCAAACAAACAATGTTTGTCAACTATTCAAGCCCATGTGGGGAATATGACCGGTTTGAATCTTTAGACCATTCTGCTTATTTCTCAAAATTTAAGGATTGTCTGTTGACTTGTCGTCCGGTACAGGTTTCATAACCGTTGGTTTAGACCAGCAAGTGAAGTTCTGGAATCTTGGACACCCAGTAGAAGAAAACGTATCGATCCCTCTCCATTCCGTACCTTTAGCAGGTAATGTATATTGTGTCGAAAATGTTTGACACCATTTTCAGGAGTTGCTCATGGTGTTTCGCACTTAGCAAAATCTTCTGATTTCGCAGTTTGCGGTGAGGGTGTAGATATCTGGAAACCTAATAGGTTTGGTTAGTGCGTATATTTGGAAATGTCATTCTTTTGAAGAAACACTCCTATTCGAAAATACAATGTAGGACCGAACACGGTTCACGCAGTTAAGGGTAATCCTATAGAAGAAGCTGTCATTCTGGGATGTGCAAGTGACCGCTCCATCTTTGTCATCGATTCTCGTCAGAAAAATGCATTAAGAACTGTCTGGAAGAATAGTTTGCAGTTATTTTAGAAAGTTTTGCAGGTAACAATGAAGCTTAGATCGAATGCAATTGCTTGGAACCCTATTGAAGCATACACCTTTGCTGTCTGTAGTGATGATTACAAGTATACGCAATACATTTTTAACTCAATCAAGTTATAATTTTCAGCTCATATTCATTCGATATGCGTTACATGGCACATCCCAAATACATGCATGGAGGCCACGGGGCTGCTGTAATAGATATAGACTATTCACCCACAGGAAAGGAGATAGTCACTGGATCTTTCGATAAAACTATTCGAATCTTCGGATGTACCGAGTCAAGATCAAGAGACGTTTATCACACCGGAAGAATGTCAACTGTTTTATCAGTTTTATGGTCAATGGACAATAAGTTCGTTCTTTGTGGAAGTAACGAAATGAATATACGTATTTGGAAAGCCAAAGCAGCAGAGAAAATTGGACCTGTAAGTTACAGAATATTGAATCAGACAATGTTTTTTTCAGTTGGCTCCTCGTGAAAAGTCTGCATTCGCGTACAGTGAAAAACTACGAGACCAATATAAAGATCATCCTGAAATCCGTCGAATCGCCAGACATCGTCAATTGCCAGGAAGTGTATTCCAGTAATACTTTTATTCTTCCGGTGACTTACTTACACTCTTAACTTCAGTGCACGAAAGGAACATGATATTATCCGTAAAGCGAGATCACGCAAAGAGCTTAGGAGAAGGGAAAATGGTGAAGAAGCAAAGCCATTTGTTCCGATGGTCCAGCAAAGTATGGCAGACTCATCCAAATGAAACAGATTCTCTGAACACGTTACTTGTTTTCTTTTGTTATATACTGTTATTGCTATAGATACATATATCTTACGCAACATCCTGTTGTTTGTTGAAAAATCTTATGAAGAATAATAAATTCACAATAATCTATCTTAACTTCAAATAAGAATTTTGAAGAAAGCACACGAATCAACGGAAATGATCCTGATTATTGTTTGGCTTTTGTGCAAAATTCTGGCAAGGAATCTTTCAAAGCTTGAGGAATGGATTCCACATAATTCTAAATGCGGTATTCAAATAAGCTGAAATTCGGAAAACTACCTGATGTGAAACCCAATTAGCGGTGGCTAAAACGCCACCAGTGTTGTTTTTCTGAACATGCGGAGAATAAACAATCTGCCGACCAGAAATATCAGTCAAATTACCACCTACAAAAGCTATTTTTTTGTGAACGATGATTTACTTTACCTGAAGCTTGAAGAACAGCTTCGACTGCACAAGTATCCCACTTCTTGCAGCCTGCACTAGCGAATACATAGGCAGCACATCCTTCGATGATTTTGATAACCTGTATAAATCTATGAAGGGAGACCTCTATTTTTAAGAAACTTTGTAGCCTGCCCCGCCAACTTTCAGAACTTGGTCAGCAAGCCCTTCTGCTTTCAAAGCATCTAAGGCGCTTATAACAGAATCAGACAAATGACTCCGAGTAGTCACAACTACTTTTTCTGATTGAGCTGAAATGTAACAGTAATGAAGAAAAACAAAAAAAAATCATACTTGAGGCAGGGATTATACCATGTATTCCACATCCATGTATAGCCCAAATCGTTCTGCCTGTTTTATTGAAATATGGCTGATGAATAATTCCAGCAATAGGTTTGCCTTTGTGAGCAACACCAATAAGAACTGTAACCTGCTCAAGCAAAGCTGAAACAGAGACTTGATTTTAAGCAGATTACGTATAAATGACTGTGTAATTATAAATACTTGCCTGCGTTTTTATTCTTCAGTGCTAAAGCAACTTCAGAAGTACCGTCTAACGGATCAACCCAAACAACTACCTGAAATAAAATTGTTGATACAGCTCTAAGCATTTTGAAAAGCCCACATCTTCTTCCTTTACAGAACTGATTTCCTCCGAACAGTTCAGTTGAAGAGGCGTCACATCAAAAGCTGCCTCAATTTCAGGACATGCGCTTGTGATATCCTGAGAGAAACGGATAATGAATGATAATTAAATAGTATAACCTCTTCGCCAATAATTTTTAATTTTGTGAAATGCTTCTGCAATGATTGGACTATACAAAACTGCGCTCTCCTGTCTGCTTCGGTTTGTAAATCAGCAGGTTGTCCTGCTTCGCTTTTATCAATAATTTTCAAATCCCCACCGAGCATAACATTCTGAAGAAAGCTCGATAAGTTGTGGAGAACTGAAGTATTAAACCTTAATGATTCCTCCGGCAGCTTCAGAGATTTTAATGGAAGAAGCGACAAGTCGCGGAACAAAACTTGCTTTACTCCACAATGCCATCAGTTGATCGTCATTCATTTGAGAAAATTATTGATTCGTTAGTTACCTATGAAACATGTGGAAGTAAGCTAACGTCTGTTCAGCAAGAGAAACAACAAAAACTCCAGACAAAACAGAGATGAGAAGAGTAAGACAGTGAGAGTCTGGGTAAAAAGACAAAGACAAGAAAGAAAAATAGGGAAAGAAGAAGAATGAAAGACACATACACCCCGATCATCACACAAAAAGCCATAAGAAGGCGAAGAAGCAACAATGATGGCGCGTTTATGGTGTTTTCCTTTTTTGGTTAAAAAAAAAGCTTTCTATTTGAAAAACTCATAGAATTTATCGTTGATCAACTGCCGAAGCCAACAATTTCTTATCGTAATTGTGACTTTAGGCAGGGAGAGTCAAAGACTATCATTTTTATTTTTCTTTACTCATGAAAAGAGTTTGCCAAATTAGACCATGCAGACCAAAGTTTTCACACTTATCCACACATAACTAAGAAAACAGTTTTATTTTATGTTTATTATGAGATTTAACAGAGATTCAAGATGATTTAAATGGGATGATTGAGCAGGAACTGCTTGATAGCGTAGTGCATCTGAGGAGCACGCCATTGAGGAGCCATATGTCCAGCACCACGAACTAAAAGAAAGATGTAGACATGAAATGAGTATTAAAACCAACTAGTGAGGAAAGTGAGACCATTGAAAAGAGTTTTGAAACCAGCAATTTGACGATCGAACTTCCAGGGTGTCTTTCCGAGAGTTCTCTGAAATCAAGACGAATTCCATTTCCAAGGTTCGTCTTTGTTTACCTTGATTCCAAGTTGATCAGCGAACTGTTGTCCCATCATGAAGTTACATGCCATATCAGTATCTCCATAATAGAGAAGAACACGAACATGAGCGGAGAGTATTTTCTGAAAAAACATACAGTCTAAAAGTATTCAAACTGCACACTAACTCTAATGAATGGGCTCATGTCAGTATATTGCTTCTCATAAGTGGTGGTGACCTTATCACTTCAAAGTAATGTTGATTTCATAGTAACTTTCGAGAACATACCTGCAGATGTCCCATTTAGGTAGGTTGAAAGGAATGTTGAGAGCTCGGCGAACTTTAGCATTATTCATGTATTGGATAACATCAGAGTCATTAAGACATGGAGCATCTCCGAAGAGAGGTTCCTTGGAACGGAGCCATTTCAAAAGATCTCCCTTCTTAGGTGATTTGTTCTGAAGGCGCTTGCTGAACCCTGGAGCGACTCCTGCAAAAAAAAATTAAAAATCTCTCTCTTGTTCGTATGAAAACCTCTCAACATGTGGCTCATTCTGTCTCCATTGAAATCAGGGTTAGGGTCACAGTCTCTGTAAAGATCGTATGGGTTCAATCCACCACCCCATAAGAATTGGAAGATATCCTCGACCATGGTGGCACAGTGTCCCTCAACCTAAATATATATAAAAATATTACAGCTGTAATATTCCTTTTCCGAAACCTGAGTGAAATCACAGCTGTCGATACATCCTGAGCAGCAGTCTTTCTCAAGAGTGTTCCAGGTTTTTTCATCAATGATTCCATGACCGTATGCATATCGGATTGATGTGTCAATGTTCAATTTCTCGTTGACATATCCGTTTCCAAGAGCCATTCCCTATAATAACCCATTGTATGCTATCTCCAGTTGTCGTTTTGGCACCTTCAAGTTGATTGGGAAATCTTCCTGCCCATCAACGATTCTGGCAGTCAAAGTTGGAACATAAACTCCTCCATATGATTCTCCCATAATGTACGTTGGCTGATGACGGAATTTAGGGAATCTCTACAATAATTCCGTTATTCATATTATATTCATTCATTATTTGTACACACAAGTTAAGAAATAGAACCATATGTTCATATCGTATCTGTAGAGAACAAAATACTTACGCGGAAGAATTCCTTAACTGCTTCATAGTTTTCCAGAGAAGTTTGATCATCGTTGGTTGTGATATTACCATCGAGAGCATAAGAGAAACCTACTCCAGCAGGAGATTCTATGTAGACAACACTAGCTAACTGAATACACAACTCCTTGTAGTATTATGTACCACTCTTACCTTGTTCCAAGAGTAAGGATTCTTGTTCAAAGTTTTTCCATCCTTGTCGCAAGTGTATGGGCCCATCTCGTTGAGAAGTCCGTCGAGTGAAGAGCATCCTGGTCCACCGTTGAACCAGAAGATCAAAGGGTCGTTGGCTGGGCTGTTCTGAGATTCAACAAACCTTAAACAAGAATTTAAGTTTCCTGGATGATGTATTAATGAGTACCAGTAATGGAGAAGATGGTTTTCAGAAGCTTGCAAGAAACCAGAGTAATGGTTGAAATCAAGATCAAAATCTACTCCTGGCAAATTCTTGATTTCATCATTAGCTGAGCTGACGGCTAGCAAAGCCGCAAAGCAGAACCAAAGCATGGCTGAAAAAACAAAAATCAAACAAATATATTAAAGACAGAAAAGAGTCTGAAGAGGCAGCCTTCTCATGAGGACCACGAGTTAAGAGTGGTGATCAACCTTCTATCGTAACCTCAAAAAGTAGGCGGAGCTATATGAGGTCACTATCGTTCGAAACAAATGCATCAATTTCAAGTTAAGGAAATTTTTGAAATTGAACAGATTGCTGAGAAGAGAATCATCTCTTTGCAGCTACAAGCTCCTTAAGAGAAGCTAGCAGCAGCGTAAAAGAGAAGAAGGATAGGAGAAAAAAAGATAAAACTGAATGCAAAGATTAAAGTGGATCAATTGCCGAGTTTCCAAAGTGTCTTGATTTTCGAGTCTATCAAATGAAAAAATTTGAAATTAGTTCAAAGAACTAAACTACAGAATGGAATTGTACGTTCAACTCACATCAAACTATCAATCCGCAAAAGATCACTTAAAATCCTTTTTCTTTCTTTTTTTAGAGAAAGAAAAACGAGTTGTCTACTGTATTTGAGATTGTTCTCTCGTTCAAAGTTTAGCTAAAGATTCCCATATTTTTTATTGTATCTTTGTTTGCAACCTGTCGATCATTCTCTTCTTCATTTGAGGCTTTGTTGTAGACATGACAGACATTGATTTGAAATTTTCTGAAAACAATGAACACATGATTTTTGAATGATTTTACTGCTTACTCTTTGAATCTTCTATCCTCTTTCCATCATCCTTCCATCTTCTTCATTTCATGGTCATAGTCCAGTACCAACTGGCACCAATTAATCACAATCTTCATAGAAAAACGTTGTAAGCAACATATGTTTGAGATCATTATTCCTCATTAATCAACGTACACTTCCTTATATAATCCAATCCGCCTGAGAACAATATTCTTGGCATACCTAGACATTGGAAGACGCCAATGAAAAGCGGAGAGAGCAACTGTTCAATTGAATGGTTTCTCGAGCATTTACAATTAGTTGAAAAGTACATCTAATTATTTTTGGAGAGAAATATTTACACTAAACCAAGTGGCACCACTTTTGATTTGATTTTGCAGAACTGCCCTTTTTTTCAAGGAATGAAAGACAACAAGAGAAGCCTGCGAGCAGTTTCATGTACATATAACGAACAAATCAACAATCGGTAAAAATTTGATTCTCTATTCTTTCTGGGGCAAATGGCTTAATGATCCTACTAAATCACTTCCTAATATTCCTAAGCTTATTGGAAGTTCGTTCAATTGCGTTGACAGTATTCCAACAGTTTCCGCACGAACATTTTCGATGTCTCTGTACTCCGCTAGTTTCCTCACATATTCCATCGGTATTCGACAAAATCAAATTCCTGAGTTTCTTGGCGAAGTACTCTGGCGATGGAATACATCTATAAGATAAGCTCATGGAATTAGTCAACTTATCCCTACCTTAAATTTGCTTCACTCCGAACAAGTTAGCCATATGAAGTAATGTTTTAAAATTATGATCTAGTGAAACCCCATGCACACCTGTGATTCCCTAGCCGTCTCCAATCTAACACTACTAATACTAACCAGGCTGACGTTGACAGACAGGATAACGTATTTTAAACGTGGAATGATCGCAAACATAATTTGAAAATAAAAGAATAAACTGTGAATGGGCGGATTGGAGAATTAAACTACAAAAACTACAGAACAACAAGGAAGCTAACATAACAATGAGAGCTTCTGGGAGATCGATAATTGATCTCAGAGACAGATTTGGTCAGATGATGACCAATGACAAAACATAGATCATCTCAATATATTCAAATACTTGCGGGAGTATAAGTTATCC